GACACTATTACTATTAAATTATATAGTTTTTTCCAGGGCGGCGGTCAAATAATTACAAAACTTTATGTTTTTGTAACGTTTCGGTTTATTCAAACGTCTTCAGACTTTTGAAGTGTTACTGCGTACATAGATACTAACTTAATTTTAAACACTCCTTCGTATTAAAACATTTATAACATTTTTGTAAAATTAGGACGATCTTTTAATTTGTTAATGATTCCATGGTATAAATTTACTCTTACAGTTATTCCTTAAAAGGAATTGTTAATTTTTTTTTCGCATTCAACTACGAACGTTGACAACTGAGTACAGTAGAATCTCGATTATCCGAACATCCGATTATCCGGACATATTCTTCATGGCTCCAATTGCCGATTTTTTACGGCGCAACGAGACATGTTGCGACAAGTTTATTCCCACTACATAATAAAAATTGATTAAAATTAAAAAAATGTTTAATTTTGTTATTAAATGAATTATCCGGATTTTCGTTTATACGAAGTAAGTACCTATGGTTTTATTTGATCCGGATAATCGGGATTCTACTATATTAAAATATAAAAACCATTTTAGTGCTAAATACAAGTTAAAAATATTCCTACCTTGTAGATGATGCATCCTAGGGTACGCAGCCGACAGACACTGTAAACCCTGTAACCAAATAGTCTTTGATAATTAAAGAGTTAGTTACAGAATGTAGTATTACTAAAATAACAAAAATTAAGAAAAGAAGAAAAAAGTGGTTCAATTTGTTCGTCCAAGTTTTTTCTCATTTCTTTCCGGTTTCTAATTTCTTATACTTTGATTAATATCTTCATCACCTGAAGAAAGCAACAGCTACAGTAAATACTTTTCTTTTAATTGTGAAAAATATTTTTTATATCTCGTGTACCCTTAGATAAGGTTGAATATATAGTCTCCTATTTGTTTTTAAAGATAGTAGGTAAGTGCATTACTCATAAAAAATTAACTTGTTAAATCGAAACTAATCACGGTACCACGATAGTACGAACGTGAAAAATGGTAATTCCGTCTACTAACGCACAACCAGCCAGTGTTTGACCATGGGTAAGCATAGGCTACAGCCAGAGATGTGATTTATTTGAAATACTTGCATTAGAAATGCAAACACAAATTAAAAAATACCTATGTTTATCTTGCATTTAAATACTTTTTTGAGAAAAGCATTTTGTATTTTATGTAAAATACTTTTCCAGAACGTATTTTCTATTTGTAAAATGCAAAATACATTTTTGCCGTTAAAAGTTTTGCTAGTATCACCGATCAAATATTAGATAAAATAAAATAATTCGAAGTGGTCTGTATCCTGTCGAAACTGTCAGACGCGGATCGTGATTTCGATCTTTTTGGATCTCATCAGCGCATCGCAGACAGCTCCAACAGAACACAGACCAACTTTTACCTGCTGTCTTAACAGCGCGTTTTAGAAAATACCATAAATGGCGCGGTAAACGCCATCTGTGGTACGACGCTACATTTTAGGATTACGTATGCTCCAACAAGGTCCATATGAATATCTACTTGGTGAAATTATATAAAATGATGAATGGATGTTGCTCACATTGGCCATTGAAAGTATTAGAAGCTCAAAAAGGGGACAAAGAGACATTCCATGAATGCCTTCAAATTCTTTAAATGAAGAAAACCCAAAAAATTCTAAATTCCTTCGAAATTGATAGTTTAAAATATTGAATCGATATTGTTTTCCGGGTTCAGTATCATAGTCCATGGAATTTTGAACCTGCTAAATCACCACTTATCGTACCTTATTAAGGAACTACAAAATTTTATGAATTACTACAAAACAGCCCCCAAAACTATATCGAGTTGAGATACGACAACTATGTAAAACTGAAAACTACAAGACATTATGGTGTGCTAATAAATGCCTATAATCCAAAATTCTTAGAAAACGGTTCGAAAAACTTCACTTGTTAGATGAACCCAAAGCTAAAGAAATTCTTTCTTTTATTACAATGTGTAAAAGATCGTAAACAAAATGGAGTTGTAAATATTTTGATATAAAATGATTGATGGTGATTTTACATCAATAAAATTATTTGCAACCCTATTTTGTCTCGGATCTTTCACGCTAAGCAAACTATTTTGGCATCAGTGTCTTTTTTTCAATTAAAACGGGCGACAAAGGCAAATAAGGAAAAATATAGAAGAATTATTTGTTGATGAATTGAAGAAACTATAACATAAAGATCGAAAAACTCAATCTCAATCACAAAATTCATTCATATGAAAATTAGATTAGAAGGCGAAACGTCAGTGGAATTACATAATTAATAAAAAACATTTATTACAATAAATAAATTTCAACAGTTTAATAATAAATAAATGATATTTAACAGCAATTACCACTGAAATTTATTTATTCTACTTTATTCACAGCTATTGTTATTGGAATCAATTATTATCTACAAAACATTTCACCTAAAGCAGGTTTTATATATAAGTAGGCTACAGCCCAGCACCTACTATATAAAGGGCCCCAATTCCCATTTAAAACAATGGGTATTGTGAATTTAAAAAATAAAAAAATTATCTAAATACTTTATAATTTAGGTATATAACAAAACTACAAACAATTTCCCTATTTTTTTTCGTATTATTAAACAAAATAGCTTTCTGACAAAATGGTAATTAGTTTGATTAATTACGTAAGCTCAAAAGGAGTGTTAGCCCAGGACCTCCCACACGTATAGGTACGAAGACAAATCTTTAATTCAAAGATTACATTGATTCAAGCACAATAATAAAATTACATTAAAACAGTAATTGCTTGATATATGAATAATTATTGTTCTTAATTAATCAAAACCAGATTATCTGTGAAATATCTGACCTTGACTCTGCCTTTCTCAAAGACATACGTTAAAGGTATTGTTCCGATTCAATAAATTTATTATTTTCTGCCCTATTGTATTTTGCCTTCGGCAATACGGCTGTGGATTATTTAAAAAAAAAAAGTTGTATTTAATGACAAAGCAGTTTTTAATTAATTGAAAGCAGTTACTGATGCAAGAAAGGAAATCCTATTCGATTTTATTCACTGTTGTTTGCTTTAAACTTCTGCTGTTGTTAAATATACTTTTTTTTTTCGACATTTTAAACAAAGTATTGCTAGTTTTTATTTTATTTGACTTAGCCTAACCCAACCTTTGCTTATAATATAATAGTTGTTTACATTTCTTTTTTTTGTTTTATTTTTTGCTATTTTTGATTTTATGTAACTTCAAACGCAAGTGCATAACATGAAAAAGAAAATAATACAATTATTAAATCCTTCTGTAGTATATAATAGATGTGTTTAAAAACCTTATCTGATCTTGTATAATAAAACCTGTGTTTAACACGTTGCTGACACTAAACACGGTAATTGGAATTAAAAATTATACTTCGCGAACCAAATTAAAAATAATTGTAACGCTGCAAGTAATAATTTTATTAATCATGCTTATTATTGCAGTATTTGTTTCCAGGATATTTTAAAAATAATGTTGCCTTCACATACATAACTAGATTATTTCCTGTTTGTATTGTGTTACAATACGTTATCGCTAAGAATAATGGTAAAATTTGATTAATTAGGACAAGTACCCTCTACCAAAGAATTAATGTTAAAACAGTTGTAATTTGAAACTTATTTTGGTTCAAACTAGGTTTGGTTAAGTGTTTATTAGTTTTCATTTGAGAAAATACTGTATAAGAAAATTTTTGGGATTTATATTGACATAGGGTGTCGCAAATTTACACCCCTAAACCGTATAAATTCAAAGAAGTGAATATTCATTTGAAACAGACCACCTAGATGTAATAATGTAACTTACCGACGCAAATAAAGGCGAGAAAGACGACTCCAATTTTCACCATTTTCACGATAATTGTATTAATGTTTGTCACTTGTCTTTTCACGGTTACCTTTCACCACAATAATGGAATAGAACACAAGGCCTACTAGGCAGACAGAAGCTAAACGACTTATGCAGATTCCTGTCATGCCAGGTTGCATAATGAATGCATTTTTCCTAAGCAAGTGCTTGCACTTTTCTTCTAACGTAAACGAACTTGGAAACGGAAATTCCAACGGCGACGCTTTACTAGCACTTACCGTTCAAAAGCTAACGTTAACAATTGGTTTTTTTTTTAACAATATACTAACAATAACATCTTAATTAGCAACTGTCTTTTATATGTCATTTTCGTAAAAAGTTTTTCTATAAAAGAGGTTAAATTGAGTTCATAGAGAAACAATGATATAAATTTGTTTGTTTTTTATGGAATTAGCGTTGGTTTTGTTATCTTGTTGTTAATACAGGGACGTAGTCGATTTATTGTGACTTTCTTCTTACCACAAAACCAGAAGTATTTTATTTAAAAAGAATTATGATTATATGTATATGTAATTTTCAAATGAATATTTATCGCATAATTTAATAACATTTAGTAGATACTATTCTCTGGTTTGTAGTCAAAAAACAGATCAAAAGTTGCATCAACTTCTTCCTGCAATAATAATTACTGATCATATACAGTTATAATGTCTGAAATACCTTGAAAACTGCTCAACAATTCGAAATATTTTATTCAAATGACGTAATACTGTTTACAATACAATTTTTGGGCTTTTTTCTTTCTAGATAACTAATACATTCTCTTAATCGCAAAATATTATTTATTCTATTTATGTGACATATTTTTGATTAATTTTCTTCCTCATAACTAAATATTAATTAAGTACTTAAACATTTTTATACATATATTTAGATACTTAAAATTAATCTACCTAAGTGATTAAATGTTCTTGAGCCCTTTTTGTAATATTTCAACTGTGCTTTTTCTTTCTTCTTTCCCTAAACCAGCAAAAACAAACCGAACATACGATTTCCGCATCAAAATTAACACAACATAATTAATTACGACAAATTTCCGTAAGCCGAACCTGCCATGCCCTTAAAATTACCTCTAAACATTTGCCGGTTAACTGCAATGTACAAGTTTGTTTGTGTTTGTGTGATACATCATTGTAATCGAAATTCCGATCTTTTTCTTGTGCGATAACAACAGAACTGACAGATAAATAGTTGAACAAAAAAGGGTCGATCTTTGGCTCATTTAAACAAAATAACTGGTACAAATTAGTATCGCATCGTGTTTGCACCAAACGAAATGTTCGCGACGAAGTCGAGTGTTTTTATTGTTGTTAAAAATTGACTAACTGTTAACAATGTTGTAAAGAATCGTTTGTAAGTGCAGTGTTGGTTTTATGTTTTATGGATTTTACGATGTAGACGTCAAAACATGAAGACATTTCGTCACTGATTCTACTAGATATCATCATTACAATTGACAAGGTAAATAATTTGTGCATGGATTTTTTGACGTGACAACGTCTTATAATTCGATGGAGCCGGCTGCACGTACGAAAAAACATGACTCATGCGGCATTACCTCGCTCTGAGGCGTTCCATTTAAGGCTTGAAGTGCAAGCGAGAGCGCGGAACGAGCGACAAAGAGGCACAATCGGCCTCCGCGTTCGGCAGCGTTCGACATCTGTCTCTCTCCTACTTG